CAGCCTCCTCGGGGCCGGCCCTGCTCCGGGTGGGCCCGGGCTTCGACGCGGCGCTGCAGGTCTCGGCCGCCATCGGCACCAACCTGCGCCGGTTCCGGGCCGTGTTTGGGGAGAGCGGCGGGGGAGGCGGCAGCGGAGAGGTAAGGGGGCGAGGAACCCCCAGGCCCGGGGTCTCGACCCTCTGCGGGGTCCCCCCTCCCCCATCCGGGATTGAGGAGCATCCCAATTCTGGGACCATCCTGGGGTCCCTGACCCGGGGCCAATGGCCCTCCCAGCTCGGGACCCCCATGCAGGGCTGCAGACCCCCGGGCGCCCCCACCCCGGGGTTTGGACCCATCTGGCTAAGGGCGTCTGCTCCCCCCTCCCCCCGACCCTTCCCCAAATCCCTTGGCACCGACCCCCTCGCCGGGGTTTCCCATCCCGGGACTGAACCCCTCCTCCCTTTCACAGATTACCTCATCCGAGCAAGATTCCTCCCTCCCTCCCTCCTGGAGACCTGAGCCCACCCCGCCTCCCTCTCGGGCAGAGGTGTTACTCCTCGGGCAGTTTCCCTCCGGGCATCTCGGGGGGCGGCCTCACCCGGGCCCACGTTCTTCTCCCGACCCGCGGGGCTCCAAGTCCATTCCCGCACCTTGCTTCCGGACCCTGCTGCACCCTCGCCCCATCCCCGGGCAGGTCCCTACCGCGCCGGCCACTCCCCCTTTCTCCTTCTCCACCCTCCACCCCCACCCCGAGCAGATGGGTCCTCCCCCATCCCGCCCGACCCCTCCGGGGAACCTCCTTTCCTCCCCACCTGGCCTGCTCGCTCCTTCCCCGCTGAGATAACGGTGACCTGCAGCCGTCTTCCCCCTCGCTCAGGGCCAGTGTCTAACCCACCGCTCGCAGGGACTCGCTCTACCTGCGCTCCACCCTTCCCCTCCTTTAGAACGAAGGATTAGTGGCATCTTTGAGGGGAAAATAGTCCGCTGTCCTCTAGGCTTACAGAAGAGCAGCTTTCCGCCACTCCCTGGAGAGGAGGCAGGCTTTCCCTCCAGCTCTGGGGAAGGGGGCCCCTGTGAGGGGAGGTGTTTGTGGGGGGACTTGGGCAGCATCCTCCCAGGGGAAGCAGCTGCTCTCCTACCCCACCCACTGCGCCTGGGAGCAAGCCGTCTCCAGCCCTGGCTCCCTCCCGCCCTTCTCTTCTCCGTCATTTCATATTGATCCACCTTTTCCTAGGCCAATCCCGGGGCTGGGAGGGGTGGGGGGAGCCGGGTTGGGGTGAAGAGAGTAGATAAGGGACAGCTTTACTTTAGCGTGGTGGTGGTGCTTGCTTTGGGGTGGGAGAAAGAGGAGGATTATGAAGCGAAGTTCTTCTTTGGACGGAGGAGTTAGGGTTCTCGCTCTGCTTTGGTGTTAGGGGATTCAAGGTGGACCACGGGTCAGAGCTTTGCCCCTGCCCCATTAGCACTGGGACGAGAACCGGGAAGCTTCGAGACGCATTATTCAGCCCCCTCAGCGAAAAGGAAAGTTGCCCTGGGTAGGGAAGTTGAGTTCAGGTTCAGACAGTGGCGTTGCGCATTTGTTTTCCATTGGATGCAGAAGGGGGAGTTGGAATTGCAGGGGAGGGGGGAGAATGGGATGGGGGATGCTAGGAGGAGGAAGAGCAGCTGCTAGGGGCTGAAGCAAGGGGGGCAGGGGGTTGCTGCTCTGGAGTGCTCTTGATTGAAACAGAAAGGGAAAGATAACAACCAGCCGTTTCCTGCGTGCCCTGCCGTTGGTGCACACAGAATATCCTGGGCAAACCCCTTGTCTCCTATTGTGCCCCGCACCCCTTTAGATTTACAGAAAGATCCTGGGAAGAAGGGGAGGGAGGAGATCCCAGGGACCCCGGCCCCTCCTTTGAAGGAGCTGGCATTTTTTAGTTGTTAGTCTTCTGCCTCCTTTTTTAAATCGTTTCTAAGGCAGCCTGATCAGGAGACTGACAACAACCCGCCTTCTGACAGAGCAAGGAGGACATGATGGGGGCGTGTTCCTTGCTATGTAGCTAGCTGCAGCTCTCCTCTCCCTGCCTCTCTGCTCTATCTCCACCTCCTTTCCCAGCCTTCAGAAGGCAGCTGCAGTCAGCAGGGTTGTTTGAGACTATTTATTGGTTGCTGTAGATTATTATTTTTTTTTGAAAGGCCAATTCTGTATTTTTTAAGCTAACAACACAGATCCCATGTAGTTGGAGAACCAAAGGCCTCATACATGACAAAAAGACTGAACCGTTCAGGTTACTTGCATGGAGTTGGTGCTTAAATGTGAGTTGATTTTGCTTTTTTAAAAGATACAGCAGCAAAAAAAAAAAAAAAAATAGACTTACTGACATATCATTTACCTACTTATTTTCAAAATTGAGACTTATACCTGGTTATGTGTAGAATTGTAGCCCCATGTATATTCGAGTGTCATAAGAAAGTATCTGGAGAAGTTAGTCTATTTTAAGGGGATGCTAAGAAGCATGTCTTCGTGTTTAGCATGCTTATGTATTTGGTATTGAAGGACCAAGCGTTCATTCCAATTGTCCTTACCACATATTCAAAAGCAAAGTTTTACGCTGACCGCTTCTAATCACAGCTTCCCAAGAGACTGGTTAGAAAGAGAGCCACCTGGATTCAGGGACCTAATGTCTGGGCACCAGAATATCTTATCTGTTGGTCTTTGACACAATCAACTTAAAGTTTCAAGCAGGTGCTAATGTTTTCGTATCCACCTGCTTGTTGTGAGGTTGTTGTAAGCTATTGCTTTATTTTCCTTACCAGCAGTTCGGAGTGTAAAGCCTGTTAAGGAATTGCAGTTATTTCCAATAAGATTATATTAGTAAGAGGTTTTTATTTTTCTTTAAACCTTTGGCTTGACTAGTTGCTACTTCATTAGGAGAAGACTGGTTGACTCTGTATGTTAAACTTTGGTACTATCTTTTGGAATTTGGCCTGAATGAGCTGTTGTTTCCTTACTGAGTTTTGTATGGGATAGTTGAGGCCATCTAGTCTGGGTTGATGGTATAGACAGGTTGATTAGTGCTAAACCAGAGTGATGATCTCCTCTGGCCTGGTAGTTCCCAGGGTAGAACCCAAGCATTTGTTTCATAGTCTTCCACATCAGTGTGGAAGTTCCAGAGGGGAGGTTTTGGGCTCCTCCTGGGCCGACATAGAATCCTAAAGAGTGCTTCTCAGAACATGCTCACAGCTCTGTAGCAGCTTTATCTAAACTTGCGGAGAAATGGTTCTGTTACCCAGAATGATTCGAATTTGCTTTAAGTGAATAATGGCTCTAATTTAGCCATATCAAAATCTAAGTTAAAACTTCTAAAACCAGGTGACAGAACTTCCAGATCAGCTGGCTGTGTGAACTCTGCTCTCTATAGGAGACCTGTCCTTTGCTGTCATTGGTTCCTGACGTCCCCTGTATTGAATTTCTGTCTGGATGACAACTACATGGAGGAGTTCTTCATGACCAAATTCTGTTGCAGTGGGATTATTTATAAAAATAGATAGGTGTTGCGTCTTCGTTGGGGCTTTCTGTATGACAGCTGAAGTTTTATGTTGTTGAGCACTATAGTCAGAGGTCTGTTTTTCCCTCTTCTCTCCCCTTTCCTAGTGTCAATGTCCCGTTTTTCTGAGGACTGTCTTGGGTAATGTTTATGCTATTGTACTTTGCCATCTAAATAAACACAGAACAGCAGCATCTTCTCTGTTGACTGGAATTTGGGCTGTTACTGATAGAAACCCTAGAAACAGTTGATTTCTCAGCAACTCGTCTGTTTGTTAATCTCATAATCCCAGGTACCTTCCCTTCTACCTCACAAAATAGTCAAGGCAAAATTTCCTTCTTGATCATCACATAGCAGACTTCAGTTAGATATAAATTGAAACTGAATTGCAACCTTGATGCCTGTTTATTTTCATTTGAAATGACAGTGTCGTTCACGTGGACTGAGATGGGCTTTTGGATTGGGGCTGAGGAAAGAAGGTGTCCTGTAGCTGAAAAGTCGTTAGAGAGTAATTTTTCTTTTGGATGTTCACTGAATGGGAGTTGCCCCTTCATTGCTTTCACAACTAGTCCTGAGCGTGGCGGGAGGAAAAGGAGGCAGAGGACACAGGTGGAATGGAGTCAGCCTTGGAGTGGAAGTTGGCAGACATGGGCTCTCATCTCACTTCTCTAGGGGATCAGATCAGAGATCATGGGCAATTTGCTTTTAACCTTAAATATCTGATCTGTCAGATGAGGTTCGGACTAAACAGCTCGTGGATCTTTCCTGCTCCGGTGTTCTAATTCTTTTCTGTTCATTTGTCGATCGGGTCATAAAATTTCTCATTCTGAGCTTATTATTTATTTATTTATTTATTTAAGAATTATTTTATGTAACTTTATTTATTTATTTATTTAAATTTGTCCAGGGAGGGACAGAGTGAGAGAGAGAGGAGGAAAATGAGAAAGCAAGCTGCCTGCTCCGGGACTTGAACCTCAGTTGACCATGTGGGAGTCCAGCATCCTCACCAGGCCACCTGCTGGCCCCCATTCTGAGTTTATTTTTAAGAGTTAGAGTCAGTAAGCCTGTTTGGTAATTCTTGGTATCCGATTGTCCACGTGCCCATTTAATTGGCATTGTTTTAGAAGAAATTTCAGCTTGCTGTGAAAATTTTTATTGTGTGGAAAAAATACAAGGACTTTGCTGAAGTTGACTAGTTTTATTAAAATAATGAAGACAAGGGGCCAGCGGGTGGCATGGTGGTTATGACCCTGGACTCCCACATGGCCAGCTGTGGTTTGAAAGTCATGCTGGGTGTGTGCGCATGCGTGCTGGGAATCCTGGGAGGAGACTCAAGGAGAAGGGATTGCAGCAGCTTGACTGCCTGCCCCCCCTCATAGTTTCCCCTTCTCCCTCTGTGTGTATGTGTGTGTGTGTATGTGTGTGTGTGTCTTGTGCATGTGTGTGCCCTGTGGCAAGAACTTAAAAAAAATAATGAAGACAAAAATTTAAACACAGTTCTGAGAATCCCAGGCATTATCTGGGATTTAGAGGCTCTCTTGTTTGGCCAAATTTGTTTTCATTGTTGTGGATTCATGACTGTCCAAAAGGGAAATTATTTTCAGGCTTGTTGGAATATTCCTTTAGGTGTATGAGCTTTTAAATGAAAAGAAAAATCCAATACATCAATATACTTATAAATTAAAAGAGAGAGTGATAATTAATACCTACTTTTCAAGAAGTTATCAATACTTAGGTACATCAGAAAAATCACGGAAAAATGGAATTAAAGTACAAGTTTATTTTGGTGCAGAAAAACTTTAAAATCCAGGCATAATATTTTCTTTTTTTTTTTTTAAGATTTATTTATTTTAAATTTTATTTATTTTCACTATTCTGCAATTTTGACCAGAGAGAAACAGAGAGAAAGGAGAGAGAGAAAGCAAACTGCCAGATTCAGGACTTGAACTGTGGTTGGCCACGTAGGAGTCCAGTGCTTCAACTACCACACCACCTGCTGGCCCCCAGGCATGTTGTTTTCATAATGCACATTTTTCTTGAACTTTTTGAAGACCCCGTGTATATTCCAAAATGAAATACTATACTTTATGCAGAGCTTTTTAATCAATTTCTCACTGAGAACCATATGACATGTTCCTGTCTCTCCTTTCCATGTAGTAATCTTTTTTTTAACTTTATTTATTTATTTACTTATTTTAATTTGACCAGAGAGAGACAGATTGAGTGAGAAAGAGAGAGGGAAAATGAGAAAGCAAGCTGCCAGGTCTGGGACTCGAACTGCTGTCGGCCATGTTGGAGTCCAGTGCCCTTAACCCTCACGCCACCTGCCAGTCTCCCATGTAGTGATCTTAAGGCACATGTTCTTGTGGGAAATTATTATTCACAAAATAGTGATTTGTCTTCTGGCTGGAAGTTGGGAAAAAAATACTCCCATCTTGACTGACTTTGCTCACCTTGAAGCTGTCCTTGCACAGAGCAGCCACGCAGACTCTATACCAACTGCCTCCTTGCCCTATGGCTAGGGGGGTGGCTACAGGCTTTGCTTGCTTAGAGGCATAACAGACTGCACTGCCTCTCTCTTCTGGAGACTCGCAGTGTTTTAATTGTAGGTCTCCTAATTAAGATCTCTTTGTGCCTGCCCACATTCCACTAGTGCTGGCACAGAACTTCAGCTTCCTTCTAGCACTCACCCGAAGGCCTTCAATCGGGCCTTTTGTGAATATCTTGTCTCTTTTCATTCTTCCTCTGCCAAGGTGGAGAGCCCAGTGGCATAGACCTTTGGGAAAGGGGGAAGCTTTGGGACTATCACTACTTTGGGAGGAATTTATTTGAGGATTGCTAGGATGGGACTTTCCTTTGCATATGTTATTTTCAGAGATTAAAAAAGGTTAAATTACTAATGAGTCTGGCATGACTTACCTACATTTTAATCAGATTCTTAACCCTGTAGGCACTGGTAGGAAAAAGGATGCTAAAGAGCTCACTGTTATAAAGTTTTTGCTGGGATTTTATCTAGTCTGGTTTATGAATCTTGATGAATAAAATCTTAGGGAGTAAATCACAGACTTGTGATTTTTGTGGACTGGTACATTATGAAGGCCATCAAGGAAAATTATTGATCAATTTTTTTTTTTTTGAAAGATTTATGCTATAGGGTGCATGCTCTCACCAGAGAGAGAGAAAGCAAGGAATCACCTCCCAGAGGGAATAGCCATGCCACAATCCCTTCTCCTCTAGTCTCTTCTTAGGAATTTGGGCACATGCACATGTGCCTAGCATGTTTCAAGCCAACAGGTCTGGGACTTGAGCCACGGTTGACCAAGTGGGAATCCCATGCTTTAACCACTATACCACCTGCCGGCCCCATTGATCAGATTTTTTTTAAGAGAGATTTTTTTGCTGTAGAGAGTGTGTGCTTCCTGGAGAGACAGAGAGATGGAAAATGAGAAATCACCCCCCAGTGGGGATGGCCATGCCACAATCCCTTTTCCTCTATTTCTCATCCACTTCTCCATTCTTCTCTTGGGATCATAGGCATGCACACACATGTGCCTGGCGTGAGTTTTAAGCTGCCAGGTGTGGGACTCAAACCACTGTCAACTACATGGAGTCCAGCAACAAAACCATTACGCCACCTGCTGGTCCCTAATCAGATTTTTAAACATAGACTGAGTGAAAGTTATCATTGAGATCTTAGTTAACTTTTTTTTTAAAGAATTATTTTATTTTTTTAAATTTTCTTTTTTTTAATAATTATTTTATTTATCT